TCGAGCGCATCGCTGGGCCGCAGAGGGTTTTTTCTTTGGTTTTAATATAGTCGCGAGGTACTACTAACTGGAAGAAACAAATCCCCTTTCCGCGAAATAAATCTAGTGAATTATTTTTTGAAAAACAGTATGTGAGTGTTGCCATCTATTTTTTTTTCCAGCATTTGCACATCGGTACACATTTAATTGATTTCTCAGTATAACTAAACATTTTAAATCTTCCTCTTTATTTTAGATTCAGAATTGTGGTAATTTTAAATTGAATCCATACTCTGAGTAGTATGTTTTAATGATAGTTTCTCCCATTTGTTCCCTGTATTCTGTTTTAGCGTGCAGCCACTCTCCATCTGGCGATCACACGCCGAGCGCTTCGCTGGGCCGCAGGGTTTTTAAATTTGATTGTAATATAATCGCGAGGTACTACTGACCGGAGAAACCAAATCCCACTTTCCGCGAAATAAATCTAGTGAAATTGTTTTAAAAACGGTATTTCAGTGTTACCATTCTAGTTTATCTTTTTTTTATCACAAAAGTAATTATAGTCAAATCTAGTTTTGTAAAACTTAGAATGAAAATGTCTAGAACTTAATATGAAAAAATTATATCTATGCTTTATTTATGTTTGATATTAACTTTATCAATCTTATTTTGAATGCTTGAACAAAATTTAATACATTTTGTTTTCAAAATTATGACGTTAGTTTTCAGAAAGTATTAGTCTATACAGGTATGCACTCAGTATATTTTTGATCTAACCCCATATATTCTGACCATTGCATTATGCACACCTTTGTGTTTCATAAAATTCGAACATTTTCCCTCATCGGTTTATTCTATTTAGGTAAATGACACGAAATGCAATTTCTTTTGAATTCTAAATACTTTCCGTCAGACGATGAGCATCAGTTTCATTTGCTTTAGAGTCGTTGGGACGTATGGAAGTCTTGCGTGACTGTGGCCAGATCCATTGCGGGGTGGGGCGGGCCTTGTCGCGCGTGCAAGGTCCGATACCATCCACTTTATATGTTTGAAAGGGAAGGCGAGGTGAGGTGTGAATGAGGCCAGGGAACTGTTTTTGTTTAGTGTTAGTTCACTTTTCCACATCTGAAAACTGCAGCACCTGAGGAATATTGGGATTCTCTAACCCCAGACGCGGCACCAGTCTCTTCATGTGACATACCAATTGCCATCCATCCTCATGACTCTGTCTTTTGCTGTTTCATTCTTCCATCGCCCGGTGGATCTCTAAATGTATCTTATAGTGGGAGTCAAATTCATCTTTGCTATCTTCAACCCAAGCCTTGATAAAGCATGATGGAAGCGCAATAATTTATTATTAACATCCATAACCCATGTATGTCATCTTCATGCTGCCAATATCGAAACCAAGGACCCCATCTATATGAATAAAACGTTTTCAGATAAAGTAGGCTTCATGATGGGAATAGGTCAGGGATCTCGTTAGTTTCTAGTGGACGTTCAAATGGAACTTTACCAATCCGGAATACATCCGATCATTCTCAGCGAATATTGTGCGGGCATACCTTCCCGTAGGATCGTAGACACGGTACCAGGTTAACCCCATCGCCTAGGGCCCCCATACCAAAAAAACATCCTAATCTACGGTTATAGAGTCCTAAATAGAGTCAAGCAATATGGAGTGAAGTTGAAGGCGTAGAGGTCGAATCCTGCCTCAGTCCGTCTCAATCCGCAGGCGGAACCCGGATTTGGACCTGAAAAGTCGAATATTTAGCTCGATATTTTGCGAAAAGCGGAATTCGCAGCGAAAAGACAGTCCCAATAAGCACATTTTCACCGAAAACGTCAAAATATCGAGCCGCTTTCACAAAATCTGGCGATTCCGCGAAAGCTTACCCAATCAGATAATGGGTGGCATCGACGATTTGATGGATTACTGCCCGTACATAAAACCATATTCAAACACTATGTGCCAAAAAAAGGTATGAAGAAACGCTCTCTGGTTCTGTGTTTTCAAAATCTGCACGATGCTTTTCAGCTGTCTCAAACACTACCCTCCAGATAAAATATGACATTATGCGCTCTATCTGTGCGGACGTGCTGTGCGACAAGGGCACCTCGAAGTATCAGGTGCGCGTGAAGGGTGCGACTGATTTCGTGGACTGCCCACCCGGAAGCACTCTTGTGCTCTCGAAGTACAGTACAGAGTTTAAGTCTGGCGCGATCGAGTGTGCGCCATACGAGGAGGTGTGCAACACAAACTATTACTGA